CAAGCTCGTTGCTATTAGGATTGCTGTGACCATCCCCAAACGGAACAAGCCTATAAGGTACGCCATAAGGCAGCAAGTTCAGCGCAGAAAGGAATACATCAATGCAGAAGCCCTTGAACATGTCAGTGCCTTGTACCTGTGAGACAAATTGACGGTAACTGAATCCCACTGGCACCCCAATTTTTAAGAGCCTCCCATTATTTGGAAAAACCCAACCACGAGGCTTCTGCTCTGTGTTCCCCGGCCAAATCACTGGTCGCAGCTTCTGACTCGCCGCTGAGCGATTGGGGGGGTGTGCGTAGAGCACTTCTGGAGCAACAACCGATAATCCAGTGTAGTTACTCCAATAACCAATCCTCCTAGATCCTGTCCCGATCACATTGAGGATTTCATATGCTGGATTCACAAGGTTCCCATCAGATGCATACCTGAAAGTACCAGTTACCCCTGTCATATCAACCTCATAGATACTTTCTCTCAACACGTTTCCTTGATCGAAGATGCTCACAGAATCAAGATGCAAGTTGTCACCGCGCAGCTCAGACAATTTGGGATCATACGAGAATGTTATTCGATTCCCCTGCTTGAAGAAACTATCAAGCGCACGAGCAAGCGCATAAACAGTATCATATGCATAGAGACCGTAAGTACTCAATCCAAGGCGAACATTACTTTTGGCAGTGTCGTTGGCGCGAGTCAAGTTTTTCCACCTGGAAACAAATCTTCGTCTGAGCTCTGAATCAGGTGTGTGGATACGCAGCGTAAGAACCCCCTGAATCATGTCCATTGTATCGTGGGGGAGTGGACCATTTGTATCCAGAAGAGTAGAGAGAAAATGAGTGGCTATCCAAACATACCCAGCTCCCATCATCTCCAGATGCTTGGCCACTTTAAACACCTTGGGTCCCCAAGCAGCAATGGTGTGCACAACTATTATCCTAGATTCTGCCAAAGCCACCTGGACAAGCACATTAGTAATCTCCTCCCTGGTTGCTTCAGGGCTCATAGGAGCTTTAAAAGAGATCCTACACCGTCTCTCAGCAAGCTTATCTCCTAACACACTAATCCCATTTCTTCCATGATCATCGTCAACATAGATTGCGATAACCTCTCTCCATCCATAGTAGTCAACAAGCTCTGCAATTGCAGTCATCTGATAAAGATCACTATGAGTAGTTCTGACAAAGAATGGGAATTGAAGGGAGGAGAGTGTGGGATCCGTAGCAGAAACTGATAGCAGGGGAACTTGGAGCTCGTTTGCAATGTGTGATATCACATGAGCTGTGACGGAGCTTTGCGGGCCAATTATGGCCACCGTGCGTTTTGCAGTGAGATGTAAGGCTGTTTTTAACGACAAAGAATTATAATCTGCCAAGCTTATGTACTTGATCTATAGTAGGAAAAAAAGTTGAGCTTTAAACAAAAAGATGAAGCTTGTGAAGGACCTACCCTCAGCAATGCTCAGAAAGCCCCTGTATTTGGAATCCTCTTGCATCGAGACATTGAGCTTAGTTTCACCGAGAATAGATGGATCAGAATTTATGTCTTCAATTGCAGCTTCTATTGCAATCTTTGCAATTCGACCGACGGTGGTCTTGAAAGAGTAGAGAACCCCAATATTTACAGAATCGGGTCGTGTGGAATGATTCGAGCCCGCCACGGTCAAACAGAATCCATGGAAGAGAATCATCAAGACCACAAACCAAACTCCCGTCATGCTTGTGGTTGCCTAAACCCACTGAACTTCCTGAAGAGAATCAAACATCTTCATTTTCAGAAGAACTACGTAGAAAGTGAAAATTGAATGCTTGCATACCAGAAACGTTGGGCTTAAAGGGACTAACACCCATGCCCGGAAAGCGAACGATAACAGGAGGCACAGGGAGCATATCAGATACAAAAGAACTATGCTAGGAAACCCTGAAATTAAAGCAAAAGGTAACAAATTGATGGTAGTGTAAAGCACATGGTCTTACGCCAAAAGAACAGGCTTTCAGGAAAAAGGGAGCATTCGGGTGTATTCACAAAATAGAAAGGCCAACTTCAACCGTTGGCCATCGAGGACCGAGAGAAGAAGCAGAACAAGATTGTAAAACAACCTGGGGAGCTCGGATCCCGAAGAAAAATGAAAAAAAAAATCAGAGAAACAACAACAAATCTAAAAGGCAGTGTTAATAATGCTAAGAGTGCTATGGGGATACATGTAGAAATGCAAAAGCACCTGAAGATTAGATTTTGCTGGTCCACTTTACATGGCCAAAAGTTAATCTGGACATAAAAGCCTAGGACTTTGGTAAGCAGGCTGGAGTGGCAATGTATTTATGGGTTCACAAGAAGATAATTGTCACTATACAAGAGCACTTGTGAGGCTGCTGCGTCTGGGCAATGCTCACGGGAAGAAAGAGGACAGAGAGAGACAGACCATTGGGCACTGGGTGGGAAGGGGGACGTGGAATTTTCAAGAGTAAGAAAATGGATTGAATTGGGTCCCTCAGAACGCGCATTGTGCGAAAATTTCATCCGGAGCAAAGCAAGCGAAATGAATAATTAATATGAGCCTATGCGGAGAGAGCTTCTGCCCTGGCCCATTTTTTTTTCCCATAAAATTATAATTTAATTCATTTTCATGGGTAATATCTCTTAAATATTTATAACATTTTATTAAGATAATTGATTGAACCGTGGATTGTCCCAATATTTGAATACGTATTACTCCTCCGGTCCTAATTATAAGACCCAATTGACTTATTTGAGGAGATTAAGGAAGTAAGTTAAGTTGGTTATTTATAATAAATAAGTGTTGTCATTCCTAAAATATCCTTGCTAATTAAGTATATTGGCTAAAACTATCATTGTTAGAAGGATTATCTTGGAAAAAAATGCATAAATATAAGAGACAAAATGGATTGGGTCTTATAATTAGGACCAAATAAAAAGTCAAATTAGGTCTTATAATAAGGACCGGAGGAGTATTTTTAAAAACAAAATGATTAGAAATGTATACATGTAATAAATAATTATAAAACCTAAACATTTATTGGAATTATAGCAACTAAATCATGGTTTTTAAAATTAGAGAATTAAATAAGAGTACAAAGACTAAAAACGGTAAATTTGGGTTGGGTCCTCCGAAACCCGCATTCGTGATGATTACGCAAGTTGACAAATATCAACATGCAAATGAAATCCATTCGCCCCCCACTCACACTGTCCCCCTCCTCCTTGGACTTTTCCACTCGTGCCATTTTGCACCCGCCCCACCTCTATCATATTTTATTCTATTCCGCAAAGAAACTGTGAATAAATCACGTTAACTTCGTTTGAGTTGTGACCAAATTTTGTACAGAAAAGTCTAGGTGAAGTTGTCACTGTATTATTTTCAAATAAATAATTCAATAATGATATGAAATGGATTAGAAAAAATTATTAATAGGTCTCGGATAAAAAAATTTAAGTAGGATAAAGAAGCATCAGCATCTTGATTTTGTTTCTTAGGTATATCTAACAACTTAATTTTATTTATGATGTATCTAACACTCATATTATTTTTGTATGCTTTCAGCATCTTAATCTTATTTATAATGCATTCACCGTCTTAAACTATATGAGATTAGGGCATTAGATGTAAGTTAAAAAAAAAAAAATTAGAGTGCTAGATATGTCAAGAATATAAGATTAGTGGTATTAGATGCATTTAAAAAATGAAATAAGGGTGTTAGATACCACCTTGCCAAATTAAATATAGGTCATATCATAAAGCAAATCTATTTTAAACGTTTTATGCCATAAGACTGTTTAAAAATTTTATCCAACATATCTATCGAGTGTGTATATAACACATTTGAAAAATCAAAGAATATTATAAATAAGTAGGGTAAGATATTTTTGTATATATCAAAAGTTTATGTTAATTGGATCCCAGAGATTTATTAGGCCCAGGGCACACTTTTAAACTCAAAAAACATTTACAAAAATATTTACAAATTGCCCATCAATAAGATCCTTACCTAGGCAGTAAAATTCAAATTTCATGATCAGATGAGTTATAAATTGGTTTATTATCAACTGTATCAACTCTCATTGGTGGTGGGGTAAGATGTTAATCAAATCAGATTTGAAATGCAAAATTGGGACGTCAGAAGATTATATTGTCAGTAGAAAAATAAATAATACCTCATGTTCTTAATATAATATTTACTTTATGGAGCAAAGTGAATCTTATATTAAAAAGAGGAGGTAGTGTTAAAATTATTATATGCGCATACACTCGATGAAACCTGGAAATCACAAAATGGGTGATTTGCAAGAATCATACGAAAAGTTTTGGAGGAGAAAAATAAGAAATGAGCTCATTGTTTTGGGTAAGCAGGCATATGATTAGCCGTGGGGAGGGAAAAGGAGCTAAAAGCATGTAAAGTGGGAATCATGAAAGGAGGGGGCATCATGGCATGTGTTGTCAACGTAGTGGCTTTTTTAATCCCAACAGGATCAGAATGTTGCCCCAGTTTCATTTGCTTGGGTCGGATGCAACATAATATTGGCCCTTCCATATTATTCGCTGCTCTGTATGGCCCACATTTCTTATTGACTAATACAGATGTAACAGAATTATTTTATTTTATTTTATCCTAAACTATTATTTTTTTACTAGCCTAACTTAGCGGCGTAATCTTAGTTTAATACGAATTTGTATAATTGTTCTGAGCTGAAAATTTTTATTGATGCTATAATTCATAAGGAGAGGGAGATAGGCATGGTTTGCGAGAATGGAGAGGTGCGGGGGGTGGTGGCATTGCTGGTTTGGTGAAATGCATATGGAAGTGGAAGCAATGGACATTCATTGCATGCGCCCATTCTTACCTGACCACTAATTTTGTTGTCGCGTGTATAATGGAGAGGTGCCTTGCGTGGACCGCACACAGTGGGCAAAATTTCTAGCTCGAAAATAATGCGAGTAGTGATTAATTTTGAAGAAACTAAACTTTAGGGGATGGATGATGGATCAAATCATCAAACGAAAGTTGGGGTAATTATATAAATAAAAATTAATTTTTTTCCAAATCAGAAGTCAATAATGCGAACATAGTGATGAACCTGTATGAAAGCGACTGGGAGGGATCCGTATCTGCCCACTGGCGCCCCCGGAACGCCGTCCTCCTCTCCGCCCGGCAACAGCGTTAAACCCTGAAACAGCGGAGTATACATGCCGCCCAAACCTGAGTCCGCTTCAAAGTCAAACCCATACTTCAAACCCGGCTCCGTCGTCGAGGTAAGCTCCGACGATGAAGGATTTCGCGGATCTTGGTTTGTTGGCACCATTGTTGGCCGCTGCACTTCCAAGAAAAACCAGAGCAAATTCTTGGTGGAGTATAAAACCATCATGGCCGACGAGAAGGGTTCCAAACCCCTGAGAGAGATGCTGGACCTTCACCAGCTTCGGCCCCTCGCCCCAAGGGAGACTGACCGCCGATTCAAGTTCGGCGAGGAGGTCGATGCATACCACAATGATGGCTGGTGGGAAGGCTCCATAACCGAAGAATTGGGAAACGGGAGGTTCGCGGTGTATTTCAGGCCCTCCAAGGAGCAGATTGAGTTCGGGAAGGAAGACCTTAGGCTCCATCGTGAGTGGGTCAATGGGAATTGGGTCCCTCCATTGGAAGAACCGTCCGAGGAAAAAGTATGCCTGTCTACGCTCCAATTCCCTTTCTCGTGTTTTCTTGCTCTTGCATTAATGCCTTTTCATTTAATCTTCAATCGCTCGGCCTTTGGCGAAGCGCGGCCCACTGTGACTAGTGTCTATTTACAATAACATTTCCATGTATTCTTCTTCATCATTTCTCAACTAACTCTTTCTTTTGGGGTGGGTTTATTTGTGGTTTGAGGCGGACTAATTTGTAAGAAACTTCTGATCCGAAATTTTGGCTTCATTGCCTTCTGTTGCTCGCGCTGAGTGTGCGGGGATGTTATATCAGTCTGTCTGCGAACTGTGAGTAGGGGAATACATTTTTCGAAGACTAATTATTTGTGGCACAGGGATAGAACTAGGGCTTGAACATGCATTTATGTTGATGAAATTGGTATCTTTAACGTCGAGATAATTTTCTTTAAAATGAATGAATTGTCTCACCAATTGTGCCTGGCTGTTAATCATAATAATATTATTAGCTCTTAATCGAATGGCAGAAAATTTTGGCAAACGATGTGAAGGCTAGTGAAGAAACAGTGACGGACATGTTTAGCAAGGGGACACTAGTTGAGGTTAGCAGTGACGAGGAAGGTTTCGAAGGAGCTTGGTTTGCTGCTACTGTTGTTGAACCAAAGGGAAAGGATAAGTTTCTGGTTGAGTACCTGAACCTACGGACTGATGACGATTCGGAGTTCTTGAGAGAGGAAATTGATATGTTACATATTCGGCCTCATCCACCGGAACATGTTTTTGATCAGTTTAATCTTCTTCAAGAAGTTGATGCTTTGTACAATGATGGATGGTGGGTTGGAGTGATTTCCAAAGTTCTTAGCAACTCAAGATACGTAGTCTACTTCAGGAACACCAATGAAGAATTAGAGTTTCCGCACTCCGAGTTAAGGCTACATCAGGACTGGATCAGCGGAAAATGGGTCATTGCTTCTAAGGTATGACTACATTACATACGGTAGCTTAGGTTTTTAATCTTGACATTAGCTTTCCACTGCGATCCTTCAAACGCTTGTTTGGAACCTGAAATTTGTCAATGGGCCATGCAGAGTATCCAATAGCCTAAAAACTGTATACCATTCATGAGCATCTTTAGTTTTGTATGTGGATGAAATATTCCCCTCAAAGTCTACTTTTCCTCCCTCTTGCTAAAACTTGAATAATCGATTTTGCCCATTTAAAACTTTTTTGGGGCGAGGGCGTTCTGTGATGCATACCTTAGTGTTCAAGCCAGCACATAGGAATGTTTTCAGCATTAGCATGAGAATAGGTAAGGGATAATTAGAAAATTGATATTTCTTACATTTTAGTCATTGATAATTAGATTTCGTAGCAGTCTTGGCTTTTCGTAGCTTTTTTAATCTGTCCGCCGAACCTTAAAGATTAAATATTTTGAAACTGAGGAAGCACTTAACCAACTCAAGTTCCTTCATACAACTAAAACAAAGTTTAGTAACCAAATTCTTAAAATTTCTACTTCAAAAGTACTTGGATCTAGTGTTGAAGAGTCAGTTTTTATGGCTGGAGTTGAAATGTGATCCCTGTTAGTTCTTTGAAAAATATTCAGACTAGTAAAAAAAAAAAAAAAAAAAAAAAAAGGGCAAGTCATGTGGATCGGTCCATTTCACCTGTGTACTTAATGGAATGAGTCAAGATCATCTTGAAATTACAGTGGTTGGTAAAATCTAAATCCAATCTACCGAAATAATTGGGTTAAATGGACTAGTTGCGTGGATTCAATCTACTTTGATGGCCATGGTTGTCAATTTGGTTTTCGTGGTTTTGTGGAACTTGTTCTCTGCTCTGCCGTAAGATGAGCCAGAAGGTTGATGTTTATGAAATCCACAGCATCTTAGATTTAGAAGGGGGAATTGTTGTTGTTGTTGTTTTTTTTTTTTTTTTTGGTGTGTGTGTAAGCACCAGGTATTCTAAGTTAGGCTATCTTTCAGGCACAACTAGATTAATTCGGATCGAGGTATGATATGAACCATTAAGATTGGCGTTCTTAGCTCCTAAGATGTTACATTCCCACGCGTTGAACTCGAGACCCGTGGGAAAAAATGTTTTTTGATGTATTGGGATCATTGAAAAGAGTTTGGGCAAATGAGTGAAACTTAGTTGTGTGATGGTTCATAAAAATGTGAAGTCTGTGGAGACTGGCACGGATGAGTTCAAACTCATCATAAAATTTGCTGTTTTGTTTTATTTTATTTTTCTTTGCGGTTCAGAGGATGATGATTATATACAACATTAGGAAAAATGGTCAAAATTAATATACAGATTTTGAACTTGTTTTTTTTTTCAGTTGAAGATATCAATCATGCAATGCTTTGGTTGAAACTTTTCAGGCATTGAAGTTGTAGACGCTGTAGAAAGGAGATCTGTGAAAGGAAACTAGTGTTAAGGACTTCCGGTCTGGTGATTCGTCAAGGTTGCAGCTAACTGCAGTGGCAGGGATGAAGTTTCACTTGCGGTCTTGCAAATATAGGTAGTGAAGAATATAGAGACAAAGGAAACTTGTTACTTTTCAGGTTAAAAGGGGGGGGGGGACTTGTTACTTTGGTTCTGGCCTTTCGTGTTCGTATAAATCAAAATTGGAAATGGTGGCAAATAATGCGTTCTATGTAATTATATTGGGTGCGGAGGGAAACCAGTTGGAAATGCCGTTTCAAGCTTCCAAGTTTCATCTTTGAGCGAGGGAATGAATAGTTGACATGAGAAGTGGGCTTCCGTTACATATTTGCGTGCCATGGCACATATTCTGGGGTGAAGCTGCTTCCGCATTCTCTCCATTTCGTTTCCATTCTCGTTGCGCATCTTATTTTTCAGTTTAATGAAAATAATTTTACAAAATCATTATATTAAAAATCAATTTATTAAAGAATTTTTTTTTTAAAAAATAAGGTTGAAATCTGGAAGGGTTATAAAACTTCAATCCATTTTAAAAGTAGTCCCTCTTTTCCTAAAAGTTTCAAATTTTAAGAGAGTACGTTCTATTTTGTAAGTTTTAGTTTAGATTTATTTTAACATTTAATGTATTTTTTAATTTTATTTTTAATTATTTATTTTTTTAGCTATACTTTTTTTCATCACATTTTTCTATACATTTTTTTAAAAATAAAAATATACTTCTAATTATTTATTCTTTTTTTTGTGATATTCTCTTTCATTACATTTCTCTATATATGTATATATTATCCTCTTTCTTATTTATTATGAGGACAGATTTAAAAATAAAAATATACTTCTAATTTATTAATTATTTTTAATTAATTTTAACTGATTTTTTATTGTTCGCAAATTAATTACTTGAAATTTATAATAATAACTGTATGGATCAGTTGCTCTTTGGTCAAAATTCTTTGCTAACGAAATTATTAGACCACATTGACATTTTTTATCATAAAAAATTATAGAAAACCATAATATTTATGAGAAACTCGTTGTGCATACTGTTTTTAGAAGCCCAAATTTGTTAGGGTGGCAATTTTGAGATGGATTTGAGGATAAAGGTGGGAGCCCAATTTAGAGCGCGCGTGACACGTGCGCAACATCTTGGGGCCACCCCGCTCACCTCCTTTCCCAATCCTTGCGTGTCATCTCCACCATACCAGCTTGCCAGTTCTGATGGCTTCTCCACACCACGCTCCCCTCGCATTCTGAGGTGTGCCCTTCAATCGCACCGCCACGCCTTCGCCTTCTCTTTCTGAGGTCTAGCTTCTCTACTTCACGCATTCTGAGCTGCTGTTTATAGTGAGAATGACAGAGCTGTTCATGGACCCGAAGCTTAACTCTTATTTGCGGCCAGACATGAAAATCCATAATTATAATACCGGACCACTAAACGTTTAGCCAAATAATAACTATTTAGTGATGAAGAGAATGTAATGAGTGGTCATATGGTTATTGAAGCCAAAATTAGAGAAAAAGAAAAGAACGAAGGGAAAATAGCATAAAATCGTCCCCATTTGGCATTGAATGAAACGTCTAATTAGTGGTGGAATTTGTATGGCCCTCACATGAAAGGTAATCTTGGCAACAGAACAGAACAGTGAAGTCGCCCTTCAACTCCAAGCATTACTGAAGCCCGACTGATTCACATCTGCAGTGGCAGACTCGGAGAGCATTGGGTGCTCATCAGTTTTGATGAGCACCCAATGCTCATCAGATCTGAACCGTCCAGATCTGATCTGGACGGTCCAGATTTTATTTTATTTTTATTTTTTAAAAAATAATTATTTTAATAGGTATAAGATAAAAAATAAAAATAATCTTCTAACTATCATTCTTTAAAAATATATCTTTTTTTATTTTAAAATATTAAATCTGGACCGTCCAGATTAGATCTGGACGGTCCAGATTAGATCTGGACGGTCCAGATGGCTCATCAGGTGATGAACACCCGGTGCTCATCACCTGATGAGCACCCGGTGCTCATCACCTGATGAGCACTGTATACGGACCCGTGGCAGACTTGTTAATTTCCCTCTACCCCAAACAAGTACTTGAAAACACTGTTATTATCATTATTACTACTTTTTTTTTTTTTTTTGGCCGAAATCATTATTACTACTTAAAGCTTAAAATTTGTATTAAATATGTTTACACTAAGAACTACTAGATTTACTTGAAATCTTAAATGACAGTGTTTCCTGATCTTCTAAATAGTATTGGCCGCGTCACCCGGAGGCAGTGATGGCCAGGCAGGGCGAATTTTGTTTCTCTCTCCCCAGATTTGAAGCCGACTCTCAGCAGAAAAATGTTATTAAATCAAATATGTTAACCAGTTGTATCAGTAAGTTTCTTTTAACAAATGAAAGAGATGATCTGATTGAAAATACACCAGGTGACCCAAACATGGCGAATGGAAACAGAGGAAAAACAAAAATGGAGTGTTCCCTGTTCTTTCGAGTTCTTAAGAGCACTGCAATTTGCATAGCGAGAATTTGGATGCAAATGCGTAGCGCTGGGTGCACAAAAAGAAGATTGTGGGAACAAGAAAAGGTAAAGCGAGGCAGGAGGCAGGTGGCTGAGGCTGACGCAGGAAAGGGCAGCAATTCTCTACGCTCAAGAACAAGTCGTTTGATAACACCACATTACCTAAATAAATTCCCTAATTGTCAATTTCCCAAATTGCTCACCCTTACCCTTCCCTTCTAAACGGGACTCCCAGGGATATAACAGTCAAATCACAAAAAGGTTGTTCTGCCAACGGACTTGTATCGTGCAAGGAAAGGGAGAAAGAGCAGAGAGGAGGAAAAAATAAAGTGGAGGGTTGAAGAGCCTTGTGTGTTCGTAAAGCTTACATGCCACGAATTTTGACACCCTCTTCCTTTTTTATTCCTTCCCACCTCATAAGTCCTCAATTTTGATCACACCTTCCGAGTTCCAAATCCCACCTCCAACCCATTGCTCAAACACAATCTCATAATAGAGATTTATTGTCAAGGACCAACTTTTGGCTGAGAGCGCACGAGTCAAGGAGATCATAGCAGTTTCCTTTTTCTGATTTGATTAGATCAGAGGGGTGAGAAGAGAAGAAGAGGAAACGATGTCCTGCTCCTCGTCGTCGGGGTCCGAGGAGGATGATGAGGGCTTCGAATCCTACAGGAAAGGAGGCTACCATGCCGTCCGGGTTGGCGATCAGTTCGCCGGCGGCAGATACATAGCACAGAGGAAGCTCGGTTGGGGTCAGTTCTCTACTGTCTGGCTTGCTTACGATACTCGCAACTCTGTACGTCTGATCCTTCCTCTTCTATTGCTGCGTCGTGAATTTGTTTATCCATCTTTTTTTTTCCCCCCTCCAAGTCTTTTCCACATTTTTTGATGACTTTCGCGTGTGATATTTAGCTTGGATGTAAGATTTTTTTCCCTTGAAACTTCTCCCTCGATTGCAATCGGTTTTGAATCTATGGGAGCAATTCAGTTACAACGTCTTTGTTACGGTGTGTTCTCAATTCATCAATTTAGAATTTTCTGCTTTTGACAACGTGAAGCTTTTACAATATCAGCGATTTTCCTTTGCTTCTCGCCCTCATTTCTGATATAGACTTGAGGATCTTTTTATATACTTGTACAAAGACCACCATCATGAATTCACCAACCCCATCTTATGTTTGCGTAAATCACTTAATCTGTCATAGATGTATGGTTGAAAAATCTTACATAGAAGAAAATAGTTATACTAATGTTGTTACTGACTCCTCCTTTTTTCCTTCTTTTGGGTGGACGGCCCTGGATTTTATTTTTTTGGGGATCTTTTTCTAATTCTGCACCTCTGGTTTTCAGACATACGTTGCTCTTAAGATCCAAAAGAGCGCAGCCCAGTTTGCTCAGGCTGCCCTTCACGAGATTAGTGTTCTTTCGTCTATTGCTGATGGTGACCCTTCAAATTCAAAGTGTGTTGTCCACTTGATCGATCACTTTAAGCATACAGGGCCAAATGGACAGCACCTTTGTATGGTCCTTGAGTTTCTTGGTGATAGTTTGCTCCGCCTGATCAGATATAACCGTTACAAAGGCCTTCCATTAAGTAAAGTTAGGGAGATTTGCAAATGTATTTTGATTGGTCTGGATTACTTGCACAGAGAACTTGGTATAATCCACTCTGATCTAAAACCTGAAAACATTCTTCTCTTTTCTTCTATTGATGCTTCCAAAGATCCTGTCAGATCTGGACTTTCCCCAATCCTAGAGAGACCAGAGGGAAACTCAACTAGTGGAGTTACGAGTCTTGTTGAGAAAAGGTTAAAAAGGAGGGCAAGGAGGGCAGTTGCTAAAATATCTGAAAAGCGCGATTCAATGGGAGGAGCAGGAGAAGCTGGGAAGTCTGAAAGAAATGTTGAAGGGATTGATGTGAGATGCAAGATTGTAGATTTTGGAAATGCATGTTGGTCCGGTAAGCAAATTGCTGAAGAAATCCAGACAAGGCAGTACAGAGCTCCTGAAGTAATATTGCAGGCTGGTTATTCCTTCTCTGTTGACATGTGGTCTTTTGCTTGCACTGCTTTTGAACTTGCCACTGGTGATATGATGTTTACCCCAAAAGGTGGACAAGACTATAGTGAAGATGAGGTATGGTGATTTTGCTTGAACGATATTATAGTTCCATTCAGTCCAGTAGCTTTTGCATGGAAAAACTTGTGATAATTGCTTCAGCATACACTGAATATCATAATATCCTTGACATTACAGCAACATTAAAGCTACGTGAATTTCTTAATAACTGGTTTAACTGGAATTCCTGATACTTACTTAGAAGTTCTATGTTCATAATGCTCGTGCAAATATAAAACTTATGGATGGACTAAAGGTACTTATGAACCGTATTTAGGCTAGAGGAGTCTTATAGAAATACCGTCTGGAAATTGTTGCTTGTGATGTTAGATTAGAGCCGGGTAGGTTGGTTATTAAAGTCTAGTTTCGTATTGCAACTCTGTTCTCGATCATCATAATAGACAGAAAATCTAGATGTGGATTTCTGGGTCGAGTCTCATGCTATCGTGTTCCTTACGTGATGCGTTTGCATTTTTAGCTAGGCTGGCATTTAACTATTGTTTAGTTCTTTCAGCAAAAAGAGAGGGGAAAAAGGGAACATTATTTGATTTTTCATGGACCTGGTACTAGAAATATTTATAGTGATTGTGAGCGTGCAAAAGCACATTCTGAACCCTTGGGATTGTATATTAGAAGAATAACATAACTACACGTTCCGGTTTCAGGATCACCTGGCCATGATGATGGAACTTCTTGGGAAAATGCCCCGTAGGGTGAGTACATTCCTATGGCATTGGTATGGTTCTTGAAAATGCTATGCTAGCATGTCTAATGCATGTGTTGCAGGTTGCAATCTCCGGAGCACGATCCAAGGATTACTTTGATAGGCATGGGGATCTAAAACGGATTCGGAGGCTAAAATTCTGGCCGCTTGATAAATTGTTGATTGATCGATACAAATTTTCAGAGAATGACGCAAGGGAGTTCTCAGACTTTCTTCTGCAGCTTCTTGAGTTTGCACCGGAGAACCGGCCAACAGCCCGGCAGTGCTTGCAACACCCTTGGTTTAGTGGTAAGGATTCAACTCCGTGTGAAAAGAGAAACGAGCCTAGTGTGGAAAAGGTTAATGTTGGGATGAACAACCTTAAAATCAAGGTGGGAAAGTGAAGGCTGTTTCGCAATGACTTCACTTTGAAGTCCATCTTTCCACTTGAATGAATGTTTTTTTCCCCCCCGGTCACGGCTTATATTTGGCTTGCTTTTTTTTTTTTTTTCCCTGGATTTATTTTTTCTTTTTCTATTGGATTAACTACGAAGATGTAAAGTATTGAAGAATTTTGTGAGCAAAATGACACCGTCCAGAGGCTTGCTGACACAGGAGCGTGTTTGTTCTTGCCTGTGATATAATTCATTTTGACATTATTCTGAATGAAGTCACAGCATACAAGGACTCTTATTAGAAAAATGTTGAAGGCATACTTCGTGTGCCGTAGTTGTATGAATCCAAACATGGGAAGGGTTCAAACTTCAAAGAATTATTTTAGGTTAAAGTATGTTTTTTTTTTTTGGACTGAGGTTAAAGTATGTTCTTTAATCTTGTATGAGATTTCAATTTGATTTTTTAATTTTAAAAAAGGCAATATATACCTTTGATCTGTTAATTTAGTCTTTTAATTTTTAAAAGTATATTTTTAATAATTTTATCCTAAAATTTTAAATGATAGTTTTTGTAAAAATAATACTTATTTTGAAAATTAAATTTAATAAATCTTTTATTAATATTTAAGATTTCAGTGTTATCTTTGTATTCTTTTAACGGTTTTAGGATTAGAAGACAATATAATTTTTAAAGATAAGAGAAAAACTGAAATCTTGTATAAAATTAAATGGCTAAATGTATATTTTTGCCTTTTAAAAGTAGATTAATGAAAAATGATAATATTAAAATATTAAATATTGATACAGTGTTCTTAGATGTTAAAATAATAAATTTAATTTTCAAAGAAATCATGAATCATTATTTAAAACTAATAATTTAAGAATTAAATGACTAAAATTATAATTTTAAAGTTAAGAAATCAAATTAAAATCTTGTATAAAATTAAAAATATATATATAATTTTATCATTATTTTATTATTTTACTGGGTAGGATATGGATTCTATCGAATTGGATATAAACAATTCGGTCCCCAAGAAAAATGGGATGCAAATGATAATAATACCTTTTTTTTTTAATCTTCAAACCATATCAAACATATTTCGAGTCTTGAAATTTAGAATTTGGGTTGTTTAAGTTATTTATAGGCTGAAATTAGGGGTGACAACACAGGCTGTGGAGGGTTAGGATTAAATGGTACAGGTTAAAAAAAAAAACTTGTGTAATGGTTAGTTAATCCTAGCCTGTCATGGTGGGCAAATATTATTTTCTTTTTAATTTTTTCATTTTAAAATATGTTTTTCATAAAATATAAATAAAATATAATAAAATTTTCATTTTTTAAGTATTTGATTGAAAACACCAAATAAATGAAAGAAGTATTTTTTTAAAAACATTTTTTAGATAGGATATAAAATATGTGCAGGTTGAAAAGCTTCATTTATTGGTGGTTTAGCTTTTAGTTAAGAGAAAATTCCAAAAAAGGTTCTTGGAATATAAAAAATTTCAGATTGGGTCCTGAAATTTCGGAAATGACAGAATGGGTCAGTGACCCAATATATCATTTGTCAAATTAAGAGGAATTGACAACTTTGCCCTCGTTTGTATTCATTCACTATAATGATTTAAGAAATCACTATAAGGGTTTAGGTGTTACCTAGATTCGTATAGCGAATAACTACTCACTTTTTCATAGTCAGGTGTCTTGTTATTAACTACAACTAATTTTGTAATCACTAGAACAATATAAGCATTATCTAGATTTGTGTAGAGAATAACTACTCATTTTTCATAGTCAGGTATCTTATTATTGTCAGGTACCTTATTATTAACTACAACTAATCTTGTAATCACTAGAACAGTGTAAGCGTTACCTAGATTTGTTTAGAAAATAACTAGTCATTTTTGCTTAGTTAGGGGCAAAATTGTCAATTCGTCTTAATTTCACAAATGACAGATTGGGTCAATGACCCATTCTGTCATTTTCGAAATTTAAGGATCCAATCTGAAATTTGGTATATTCTAAGGACTTTTTCTGGGATTTTCCATTTAGTTAAACCTAACCTATTATTTTTTTCCAATACAACCTATATCACCAAATGTAGATAAAATAGGTGATTTGGAACATAAGATATGGATAGTTTATGTACCTAGTGCAAATCTTGCCTTTTGTAGGAAGAAAAAATAGGTTACTACTTACTACAAAGCAAGCCCTGAAATCAATATTATAGTAGACAATAAAATATCATCGTGTTATTATTAATGGCTAAAGTGAAATACAACTAAAATAGAACTAATATGTAAAGATAAAAATCAAATACTAGTGTTTGGAAAACATGGGAACAATACCAAAAATCATGATTTTCTATCGTCATTATAGAGGGAGCAGTGTGCTTGCATATAGAATGGCTAAAAGGATTTGAGTGATCTAAGCTATGGATTTGCCTGACATCTTATGAATACTATCTAAAACTGAGAACTTGCCATGCGCATACATTAGTCCGGAAAAGAATCTCCTACGGCCCAGCACACCGTCTCGTTAGCAACGCGGCAGCCAGTCAGCCACGGGTGAATCGCGCGGTGCTTTCAGTTTCAGTTGTCACGTTGGAGCTAACCGCCTTCCTTTTTTGTCCTGCACAGTGGTGAAGCTAGCTATGTTTCTTCCCCATACCCCGGCAATTCTTATTGAAATCGCGCCATGACCGGCTGAGAAACCAACGCCGGCATTCCCTGTTTTTCTTTCTTTTTTTTGGCTGCGGAGCTTCGACCGGTCGCGTTAGTTTAATTCTTTCTGCTAGTGCTTAGTTCGATGACGACCATAACGCCTTTGCCCGAGGATGTCCGGAGTTGGTTGCGTTCTGGCATTTTCTTGTTCGACTTGACGAGGGTTGTGGAAGAACTGGTTTTCAACAGCCTGGATGCTGGCGCCACTAAGGTATTTATCCATCTATCCTATGATTAGTGCAAGTATTACTAGATTACTAGAGAGGGGAAGTTGTCTGGCTTCGAGAATTGCGGTTGCATTGATATAACCGGTCGGTCTATGATGTTGGTCTAGCTTAGACGCAGTGCTCAGTGCAGCCAATGAATGCGCTATCGTTCTGTTCTTTTTTCACGGACTGTGGATCCCGCTATGACATACATCAGGCCATTATTTTAGTGAGGAATGAGGATGAAATCGCACGGAACCAGTATTTTGAATGCGGGGGTAATACTGTTGAGAGGCAGCGAGGACTGAGGAGTTTTTGTGATTGATTTGGTGACTAGAAGATGGTTTGGTTACAGTGATTCTGGGATATTCCTTTGGAAAGCTTTTTGGTCTGTATATCAGGACTAAAATAATAATGATATCACTAATAAGCTATTGGTTGAGGTAGTAGCGACCTAACCCGTGTAAGGAGGAAAATATAAATTCGACTCCCGGGAAGCGCAATTGTTAGGAAGACTATTCTTTAATTGCTCCAGACCGGAAAGGGATTAATCTCAAGTTCTACGTGACTTATGGATACCCTTGTTTTACCTAAAAAAATAATAATGACATCATTTATGGATTTCTGTTGTAAGATTGTAGCTGACCAACTTCAGCCTATGAGGATGACTAAGGGAAGAAAATTCTACCTCCCATCAACTGTAAAAGTATAAAACAGATACCATTTGCATTGCTAGCGGTTTATTACCAATTAGTTATGGCTTTTGTTTTTGCAGGGTTCTGATCTCAAGTCACCTTTGAATTCTGAGCATCCGATGTTTATGTTTTAGTCAACTAATTGTCTATTTGGTCAAAGGGATGGCTGAATCCTTGAACTGTCTGATATATTTGTTACAGATCTCAATCTTTGTTAGTGTCAGGAGCTGTTACATAAAAGTAGTGGATGATGGTAATTATTTTCATTTTTTTTTTTTAAACGTTATCTGAGTTGAAAGTTGAAACCATATGGTACATTTGACTGTGATCCATCTTCCTGTTTCGAAACAATTATATTTATAGGAGTTGGTATTACTCGAGATGGATTGGCGATCGTTGGAGAAAGATACGGTATGCACTTTGTCAATTTATCATCTTTTCTCACTCTCCTTTACCTGTAAGACTTGTTGCTAATGCTAGTTGATGTTCTCGCACTTCTTTTCTCATTTATGATTTTTTGAATGAAATGATCCCAGACCTTGCTCATTTTAAAATTTTGGCGGGTAAAAATTGATGATTAAAGACCGAAATGGCTTATTTATTTATTTATTGTGATTCACTAGTAACTATGCTATTGTTATAAGATAAGGGCCTCATATTGTCATCTCTCGTGTATTTCATTTATTGTTCTTTTTTTTGGTGGTCGTTATAAGTTGTCAAATTAGCTTAATTGCTTATAGATAGATAGATATATATATATATATATATATATTTGTAAGTTCACAGACGCAAAGGTCCTCTGAGTCAGCATTTGGTAAAGTTGTTTTAACAAAACCATTCATGCTCATGATCATTTGACAAATAGAGATGCCCAGGAAACCTTGTTTAAATTATGTGAATCTAGTTTCCCAAGTTGCCTATGATAATGGGATGTATCATATGTATATTGTACAAGCAGCAACATCAAAGTTACTTAGTTTGGCTGATCTGAATGGCATAAGTCGAAGCTTTGGTTTTCGGGGGGAAGCTTTAGCTTCAATTTCAGAAGTTTCGGTGTTGGAAATTTTGACAAGAACTTTTGGAAGGGCAAACGGGTACCGCAAAGTGTTGAAGGTGTGGATAAGTTCTTACCATTTATTCATCATGGCTATTTTGTCCTGGTGAGTTGAATGGTGCATCTGCTGTTGATTGCTACGTTTATTAACTCAAGCTTTTCTGTGATTGCTGCAGGGCTGCAAGTGCTTATATCTTGGTATAGATGATGATAGAAAGGAAGTGGGAACAACAGGTAATAATAATTGGTTAATCAAACATTTGCGTTTTTTTTCCTTTATATATTTCTGTTTATATGCAGGAATAAGATAAATGCATGGATAGGCATCGGTCGTTCTTTTCTAAGTCTTCCCCCTTGATCCTCATATGGACTGTGAACTTGTACTATTTGGGATGTTGGGATGTAATATGGTTTCCCTCTCTTTTTTCTTTTGATATTCCTTGGTGATGTAGCATAATAATAATTTTGTTTTAATATTGCAGTTATAACATGTTTTGACTCATTGCCATTTGGATCTAGGTGATTCACTTTTTGTATGTCTCTTTCGGGTTGAAGCCATTGCCAAGACACTCAAGGCAAAAGGCACTTTTAAGGCTTTAGACCTCTTGAACATCTTAGATAAGGGACACTAAAAGATGCATTTCCAAGTGAAACAAGGTGCCAAAATAGAGAATAGCCTGTGATATGCTACGCAAAAAATAAATAACCAAGCCTACATTTCTAACAATGTTTGACTGATGAATTAAGTACTCAAGCATGCTAGTGAGCTTTGGTTTTTCTTTGTTTGTATTCATGAACTCTAAAAACAGTCTGAATAATCTAGAGCCAAAATGACTATTTTACCTTATTCTTAAACCTCTAAGCTTGGGTTTTGTAGTTTCCTATATTATCCCTGACTATTTTAAAACATTTTTAGTTGGGCTTCTAAGTTGCTCCTTCCCTTAGAGTCAGCCATCTACTTTAAGTTGTCTTAGCTGCACATCTTAACTGATGCCGAAAGCACCAGCGGCATAGTCAGGCAGATTTCTGGCTTACATAATGATTCTTTTTATCTTATCTGTTCCAATTTATTGACACATTGACATTCATTGCTAATTGAGGCTTTTTATCTTTCAGTTGTTGTCCGTGATTTGTTTCACAACCAACCAGTTCGGAGGAAACATGTGCAATCCAGGTTCCTTTTTTCCTCATCCCATCACTTTTTAACATGCATATGATAGTCTTAATTGTAAATGAAAATATATCTGTTTCCAAAAATTTGTACTGACTGATGAGTTAAAATTGGAAGCCCAAAGAAGGTTCTGCAATCAGTCAAGAAATGCATGCTGCGGGTCGCACTTGTGCATCCGAATATTTTGTTCAAAGTTGTTGATATTGAAAGGCACGTTGCTTGCAAATTCATGAGTCATATCTTCCCTCTTTTCCCGTTTTCTTTTCTTTGTGGGTTTCCAAGGTTTAACAACATTCTCTATTCTGTTCCCTATAGTGAGGATGAACTTCTTTGCACACAGTCTTCTTCTTCTCCGCTATCACTTTTAACCAGTGGCTTTGGGGTGGATGTGTCAAGCTCTCTTCATGAATTACAAGATCAGGATGATGTTATAAAGCTTTCAGGATACATATCTGGCCCCTGCAATAGTTTTCCTGTGAAGGTGATTTGTACCTGTGATGCATCAATTCAATTATTTATCTAATTATACCCATGATTTCAGAAAACACACGCACTCTCTCTCTCACACGCGTGCACGCACACACACACACAACACACTCATATATTTAAAATAGCTGACCTCCCTTCCTCTGCCCTCTACAACTCTTGGTGTGTTGCTTTGTTTGTTTTGCAGGCCTTGCAGTATATCTGTATCCATGTGAGTTTTAACTTTGGATAATGTAATAAGGGTCCAGAGTTGATGTATTGAGCTCAAAAAGAATCAAATGCTTAATATATCTTCACATTGGTCCTTAACATGCCCAGATATTAACTCACAATTCATCAACAAGAGCCCCATTCATAAGCTTCTGAGTCAACTTGCTGTTAAGTTTGAGCATCTGGACTCACGGAATGCAGGTGACAAGTTCCTGAACAAGAAGAGAAGTAGATCACAAGCATATCCAGCTTATATCTTGAATTTGCTTTGCCCACGGTCTCTGTATGATTTAACCTTTGAGCCATCAAAGACTTCTGTTCAATTTAAGGTAGTCTCTTGGGCTTTTCTTGTCTTTACTATTTACTATTCTAGTGATTATGTACACTAACAAGAATCATCAGTTTTACAGAGGGAGATAGATAATTTCTTAGTAGTAACTTTATTCTCAAACCACCCTATTTTTGGATTAAAAAGTGCTGCAGTACATCTTCTTCTTCTTCTTTTTTTGGCTGGGGTGTAGTACGTCTAGAACATCTTACTTTCAACAGGAGCAGTTATCCTACTAGTGCTAGAATATAAAATAACTTGACCTTCTTAATCTATAAACTTATAACTTGATTGTTGAAGATGTCTTTCCTGAATTATTTTATCCCAAGACTTCAGCAATGCTGCTTAGAATTTGACTCCTTCCAACCACACTTTTGAAGGATTGGGCTTCTATACTGAACTTCATTGAGAAGGCCATCAAAAATTTCTGGGGGAAGAGTATAACTCCTGGTATTGCTGCATCTTACTGGTATTTGATACAATGAATTGGTAGTGACTATACTTACGTAAATCATTTATATGCTTGTAGGAGAGTCATCTAATGCCACTCATGAGGTGCAAGCATCCCAAATGTGCAAGGAAACTGATGATGCTATTTTGGTTGAAGCAGGTGAAATTTTCTGCTTTGTTGTATTTGTTAATTAAGTATGATCAATTTCTGGTTAAAAATAATACCCCCTGTAAGCAGCACTGTTTTTTATTTTAGGGAAAAAAATCTGCAAACAATCCCTCATAGGTTGCCAGGGTTGATGGTGGGTTAGTTTGTCTTTCAACAGTTGAAAATAATTGCCAAATCTCTTTGATGCAGATATAGCGAACTGTGGAAACCGAAAGAGTAAGGAATTCTCTGGCCTTTTCTTGTCCACTTCTGACAAGTGGCTAAAGATGACCATTGCCTGTCTGATGGGCAAGTCACTAGACCCTCCCTTGGTTATTTGCCCTCAGGTGCTGCAAAGTTCAAAGAAAAACCGAATAAGAGAGACTTTTTCTGTCAGACTGGCTACTCTAGCTTTTCAATGGATGGGTCATATGCCAAGTATGATTCCACTGTGACCATAAATCATTGCAGTGTGTGGAATGATAACAACTGTATATCTGGAAGAGATGATTTATTGGATGGTGAGTTTGCTGCTGGAGAAATCTTCAATGATGATGTGTCTTTTGATGCCCCAAGCTCGTCAAAGGGAAATAAATTTCGTGAAGTTGATGATGATAGGCTCAGTAAATCATCCCAAGGTGCCTTGCATTATGGCTGTCGTGAGATTGACGGGGATTTTCAAAAGCCTTTTTTGAAGAGTTGCTCTGTACGAGGCAGTGATCCGCATGAGAAGGCCTTGTTTGCAAATGATGAACATGAGTTTCAAATTGATGGCTATAGCACCAAACAAGATATGGGAGTGTGTAGTGGCAGAGTTGAGAACATAAGTGCCCATCCCTGTCCAGAAGCTGTAGAAATGTTTAACACATCTAGAGATTCTGTTTTTCTCTCAAGAGCGTCTAGTGAAGAAAAATGTTTTCCTTCAGATTCATGCTCTCTGGCAACACAAATGGGATGCCCTGGGTCTGCTAAAGAAAAATGTTTTCCTTCAGATTCAAGCTATCCAGAGTTACTGACATCAGAACATTACCCTATCTTCAAGACACTGTTACCTGAAGCCACTGCTTGGGATGTTGATCATATGACTGGCACTGGTCTTGATGTTCTTGGAGGAATACCTATATGCTATAAATGGGGTGATTATGAAAGAATTTTTGATGATGAAAAAATAGATGCAATGTTAGCTGTGATACCTCATACAGCTTCAACTCAGATCGGCCGCATGAGAAGTTTTGGAAACAGTGATTGTATTTTGATGGTCCCAATGACTCTAATAATTCAAATTTTACCAAATGGCTAGATCCTAATTTGGTCAAATGGCCTGATTGTTATGATATAGGTTCCAACAAATGGTCAGATATTTTAGCAGATGAGTCAGATTGGTTGTGTCCCGTGTCATGTGGTGGAAACTACCGCAGACTTAGTGAGAAAAGAATAAAAAAGGATCATGTTAGACATCCAGCTTCAGAAAAGAATCATGAAAGATCTTAGAAGAAGCTTTTCAGCCCCTCCATTTCACAAAAGCAGAAGAAGGTTTAATTCTTTAAAGCAACCTTAACGATGATAGCCAAAAGACCTGCGGGCCTAGCCTCCAACTGTGCTTTAAAGAATAGAGGTTTTTTCCTTCTTCCCCCTCTTTCCTCTCGTTTTCCATGTAGCAATATTTTTCCACTGAAAAAATTAAAGGAATGATGCTTTAGAATTGGCAGAAGCTGATGAAGAGTATCCCCAGCAGTCTTCTGGTCCACTTCACCCACCTCCTGAGGAACATTTGTTTCTTGAAAACAAGTAGGACCAACCATAGTCCTTGCTTACACTGCTGTAATGTTGCAAATTAATTCTCGCTGACACAGTTTTGCAACGATTTAGTTCCATTGTGAAGAAGAAAAACAGCTACTCTGGAAGATATACAGCAAGTTAATAGCAATAAAGAGTCTGAATGGTTTCAAAGTTTAAATAGTGAAAGCAATGCTCCATTTAAAGGTGAGTCCAGTGTCTGCAAAATAATTTGGTCTGACAAAGAGTTCATTTCAAACACAAGTGTTTTCTGTTCAACATCGCTCAGCCTTGGATTCAGAGTACATAGAAATAAGACCAGCACTGAGTGGGGCTAATTTTTCATTCTGGTTTGAGTCACTGATTGAAGTGATAAGAATGTTCATATATGACTGCTTAGAGTCATAATAAAATTTAGCAACATCGTAAGCTTCTAGAGGGTATTTGTTGTACAGCTTTTTACAAACAAAAAAAAAATCGAGTCAGTTTGGAATTTGCATTACCTTCTGTACTTAGGAAGTTTGGTTGCCATCTTCATTCAGTTGGGTTGTAGTTGATTGTTTCATTTCTTGTTTATTTTATTAAATAATTGAGTGATTTAAATCATATTTCTCTAGGGTTAACATGCTGTAATTATTTTGCAGAAGTGACCTCAAGAAAAGTGGAAGATTCTATGGATTACGGACAAAGTGGCGGGACGGCTTTACCTCAAATTCCAGTTATGTTTCCAATTTTCAGAGGCCTATTTCTTTTCAGATGAGAATCATTAGAATGCTAGT